GTGGTCTATTCTAACCCCAACCCACCAGGGGTATTTATAGACATACAGTAAATATAAGCATATGTTTAATTGATAGGTAAATAAAACAAAACCAATATTTTATAGGTATATGTATGACGTATGTCACTAAAATCTTTAACATATGAATATTATCATCTAAGATTAAAGAATCATACTTAACTGTAAATAATTTTGTTTTTCACACATATTAGTAAATATAACCAAAGATTAATCTATGATATAACTACTACATTTCACTGAAGTAAATTTTTTTTCTAATACTATATTACCTAATATATTATGTATTTTGAATTTCAAATATTTTAATTAGTTACTTACCAATTTAAATGCTTTATCTACTCGAAACTTTCTAGCTCTTAAAAATTTAAGCATAAATGCATCATCCATTCTTGAGTTCAAAAAAATATCACCTTTCAAAATTAAACGAGCTATTTTAATAATTATATAATAATACTAAGTAATGTATATCGTATACATTATACTATTGTTATTAAAATTAAATAGGTACTATCTTATTTATTTATGATATAGATGTTATTAGTATCATTCTTCCTTATATTCAACTTATTGTAAAAAATGAAAATTTTTACAATATATCTTATAAAATGAATAATTATGTTTATGATAAATACCTAATGAATTTACTTGATAATTATTTATACATGAAAAAGAAAATATTAAAATTATTATGGCTATTTTCATAACTATAATAAAATTTGAATTACACTTTTTTGGATTGTTAATGAAACCAATAAAAATATTATTCATATTTATTAACATCTCTAATTATTATAGGTTTTGCATACCTTTAATTAATGTACGTAATTCATCAATAGCTAACTGTGGATCAGACGGCTCATTAAGTTCTTTTTGTAATTTCAATTTCAATTCGGGTGAATTAAATTGGCTTTCTGACATTTTGTATTCAATGAAAATAAATAAGTTTCACAGTTGTACGAATTTTCATAAAATGACTAAGTTAGAAAAAAATACATAAAAAACATGTATTAGAGAGAAATGTACAATATTATGAACTGATCTTCAATTTCATATTTTTGCAAAAGTATAACACCGGAGCTTGATATGTATCGGCGTATATATATCATGTACGTCCTGTAGGTACCAATTACGAAAAATACATGAGTGTTTTGTTTTTTTTTCTATAGCTATTTTTTGATGCATGACGATTAAAAAAAGTCCATAATTATTCTATAAAAATTATTATTATAAATTTATTAAAATACATCACAATACAATTTACATTATTATAAATGTACACTGAAAATAATAATGTACCTAGTGGTAATAAGCAATGATCTATAAAATATTTCATAGAACTTTTGTATTTGGGACCTATGTTGTATTATACAACGTGTTTTCTGATGGAACTATTAATAAAATAATAAATACAAACATTATAAAATATAATATCATGAGTGGCATATTTACAATTTAATAGTTAGGGCCCCTTCTTAAAAATAAAACATACTTTAAAAATACATGTTAGTAAATATTTGTAACGGTTAAAAACATAAATTCTAAAATTCAATGTTGGTGGGTTTCGTGAAAATGATCCTGTGTCAAACGACACATTATTAAATAATGTAACATTGTATTACGCATAACCCTCGTCCTTAATTTGTATTTGTAGTGCTTTATTTTTACTACTGCTGGTATAGAGATTGAAACATTGTTGATTATAAATACAAAAAAGTTAATATTCTGTTGAATGAATAAAATATTTTCAAAATTTTTCTTGAAAAAAAAAATGAATATTTCAACCTTAGATTTTATAGAATATTTTATTGGTTTATTTTTTGTATTCAATTAGAAGTTCATGTGTGATGTAAAATTCATGAATAGTGTTCATTTGGTTTCCTTCCATATTAATAAAATACTTTGATTTATGATCTTTCAGTAAATTGACTATTAATGAAATACAAAAACATACCTTTGACAATTTGTAAAAAGAAACGGACCAATAAAGGAGTATGCTGGTTTAGAGATTGATTTGAATAGTACTGAAGAATCTAATGACTATACAATTTTCTCAATAATATTTTATTAATCCTAAAACTATTTTCAATGTGATTCATTAGTTGTAGCCTGGAGATACGTATTACTTGAACGCAATCCATGTGACATACATACATTATTATAATTAAAGTTGATGTCTATAGGCTGTTACAATCGCGATGTTAAATTTTTGTAATTTTTTTTTTTTTTTCAAAAATTACATAAAAATATAATTGCATTTTTCAAAATCTTAACAAATATTTTGAATGATTTCATATGTAAATTATCTTGTATTCGTATAAGAGCTATATATCTGTATGCTCGGAAATTGGACTAGCTCTATACCACGCCCTGGGAAATATTTATTTTAGCAGCTTAAATGTTTATTTTATTGTAAATTATAATTTATCATCGTCCTTACTTCCAAAAAGTAATAAGATGTATATTTGAATGAAAACTTTAAGTAACTTATAGCTACATACTAATACCTAACGATATATATTCATCTAAACATTTTAAGCCCAACGTATGTTTAACTTTAAAAATATAAATTAAATATAAGTATTATGTAGCCATATAGTCATTTAGGGAGATACACTATAATATTATATTTATTCATTCTGTGAATAAAATTTGTTGTGTAAAAGACTATTTCAATTTAGGAGTTCACTTGTGTCATACATGACGTTCAAACTCGTATAGATTAAATACACCGTTTAACGCCCCCCTTCTTCGAACGAGATCACTTAATTGACCCTTTCAAAGCAAACCGAATCCTCTCTACTGCCAACAACTATCGTATACGTTGTTAGTCGTCGTCGTCGTCGTCGTGCGCGTTATATTAATGTAATATTAGCGACTACCGGTATATTCTACCGGCGCTCGATCGATTTACACAAACGTGTACGTAATTCAATAACATATTTACATACATGGCCCTTTTCGTCGTCTAACTATCTATTCACGTCTGGACACCGCGCGAACTCTGACTGTGATCTTTTACGAGGATAGATTTATACATGTTTAATATACATGACACGCTTGTGTATAAGTGTATAAGTTACCTGGTGGCCGGTGGAGAATTGTATCTAAGTATACATTACAATAATGCGCGGAACGACGTCGTATTCGAATGCCGCTGTTCTGTTTGCGTTCCTGTGGGTAACGATCCCGTCAAAACCATGCCTATGCTACAACACTGACTGCGATTTCACTGAAAGGTGGGTACATTTTTAAAAACGATGGCACATTTTAAACGTCAAACTATAAAACGAGGTAGGTATGTTTTGTGGTGACCTATGCCTCATTTTAATTATTATAATAAAATGATTAATATGAAAACATATTTTGAGAATATTGAAAAAATAACGACTGCATGATAGGTTAATGTTTTTAACAAATGAGCTTGACACTCCTGAAGCCTAAGAAAAAGATTAAGTTGCGCTATTCCACAAATTTAATAATATACGATATTAACAAAGCGAAATATAATTATGTATGTACTATATGTGTTTAAAGTTACGATGAGGTCGTCACAGTCAGCATCAATGAACCTGTACAAGTTACTAAGTATAAATGGTGTTTGGACATACCACCAAGATGTCCAGACAATAAGCGAGAGTTTAGGACCGTACTCAGGAATGTTGTTAGTAAACGACGTTTTTATATTTTGTTTTCGTATTGAATTTTCGTATTTTTTTTTTTTTTTTTTTTAGACGGTGCCTAAAATGCGCAAGGTGAAAAGGTGTTGCAAAGATCAAATTCAGTTGTACGATAATTGTGTTTCGAGATGTGCTGAAGATCAATGTCCGAATATTCATTGTACACCAGGCACTGATAAATGTAAATGCAAATCAGGATATACGGGTCATTTATGTAGACAAAGTTAGTTTTTTTAAATTTTGATTATTTCCAAGAGTTTTGATATATAAAAAATAATAATACACAGGGTATTTTTTAAGTAAAATTAATTATTTTGTGCAAACAATTTTAAAAATTACCATACACAAATTATAGTTGAAAATATCCATGACAAAATCAAATATATTAATTGTACAAATATTTTTTAGAAATACAGTAGAATCTCGGTAATCTGGCCGTTCGGTAATCCGATACGTCCAGTTATTCGGCTGTATTAACCTATATGTACCAATATGTATTTATATATAAATTTACCAT